AGCTAGCAGGCTAACTAGCTAGCAGGCTAACTAGCTAGCAGGCTAACTAGCTAGCAGGCTAACTAGCTAGCAGGCTAACTAGCTAGCAGGCTAACTAGCATGTTTAAAAATAAAGTGAAAGTTTGTTCTCTTTGTGCAAAGGTCATGTTTAATCTGTTTTTTCATGTGGTGGCTGCCAACAGCTAGACACAAAATTAACTGCTGCACATCTAGCAGCAGTACACAGTAGGATATAGCGCAACTTCAATTTCAGCTAATGCTAAGGATAGCCCCACTATCTGTACATAGCACATAGCAGTTTTGCTGCTGTGTAGCAGTTTGAAATCTCATATATCAAACATTTTAAACCTAGATGATATATTAAATGACCTATTATTACAAACTAATCAGAATTATAGTTAATGGCAGATCGAAATCCCAACTCTCCTTTGCTCCCCGTATTTCTCAAACTGAACTGCAGTGATCTTTCATCTAGAGGAAGTAGACCCATGCCAACAAAATGCCCTTGCCCAGCACAACAGAGCCACCAATCAACTCAATGTTGTGGTGAATGGTTCAAGATTTTCCACTATTTTCTGGGGGTCTGTCTGTAACTTCTCTGTGATCGTTGTCTCAAGTAATTACAGAGCGAAGAAAAATAACCCCATTTTTCTTATGGCTGTGTTTTCCACCGGTCTTGTTAACAGGACAAAGAAGGGATATCCAATCATTTATCCTCAAAAACAACACAAAGGGAGACCTTGGGAACAAAGACGATTTCCTACTGAATGGGGCATCCTGGTGATTTAGTGGATTAGTGAACTGGTCTGGGAATCCACTCTCATATCATTCACCCATGTTTGTCTTTGAAGTTTATGTATAGAGAAAGGTCGACATTAGCACGTTTAAGTCCTCACTCTATCAACCACAGGCAGGCCTGTGGGTTAGGCATGATGAGAGCAAGGACAGCCACAGTCCTGTCATTTTAATAATGATCTTTCAAGGTAAAGAGGCAAAGTAGCATGTCTTTGAATCTGACAATGTGTGAACAGAAACTAAATGAATCAAAGTGTCGCCAGGTTCCATGACGCACAACTGTGCTTAGATATGTTATCTGTAAACTTTCAGGAACTGTGGTGGTGGCACAGACTAATAGCAGTTCCCTAGAAATAGGTTTTCCCAGTAATTGTGATGTTTAAGATACTGGTAAGTCATTCAAGTTTCAGGGTGTATTGCTTTTATACCACAATCAGGAAGTGGCCCTTCTGACCCCCAAGTAATTTACTATAAAGACGACATTCCTTTCCCATAATGTAGCTGCATCTGTCTGGGTGATGAGCAGACTGAGTGAGTGGCCTCTGATGCTAATCTTCCTGCAGCCAGACACAAAAAAATGTCCAAATAAAACATGGTCACAATAATGACTGCAATTTTCCAATCAAACAGAGTGAAGACAAACACCGAAATAACTTCAAATTCAAAAGCAGATTATCTTGGAGCTGATCCTAACACATCGCAACTCAGTCAAATAATATGCATAACTCTCA